GGGTCCTGACACACCAGAACCTTTAAGAACTTCTGTCAACATATGAAAAATGTGTCCAACACGCTGGCATACGAAACACGATAAAAATCCACAAGACATCATTTAATCTGGTTGATCTTTTTGAGTATAAAATAATTTGAGTTGTTAGTCGTGACATTGTTTGTTGGCTTTAGATGAGTGAGAAGGTCAGTGGTGTGTTTCCTTCTTCTAACTGGAGTAATGTTCCCCAGCTCCCCAAGGCCTCCCTTCTGAAGTCGACTGCTGTAATGAAGGTGTTCGACTTCAACCGCTTCACCAAACACGAGGTCATCGGTGAGCTAAGAGTGCAGCTCTGCAGCGTTGACTGGAACCACGTCATCGAAGAGTGGCAGGACCTGGCTGAGCCGGCCAAGTTCGAGGTTTTACGTCTTTGCCTCCACCGTTCTTTCACGCTGCACTCGTTTCATTACGTTAGAGAAGACGTGAATCTTTAATTAGCACTTTATTTGTTGGACTTTCAGTTAAAACTAGAGACACTGCATTTCCTACAAATATGCAGTGTGAATGCTTATTGCTGAAGAACGTCTGAAAGTAGCTAAATACAGTACATGCTGAAATTTAGCTGAAATGGAAGAACAAGCCCAAGTTAACAGAAAAAAGCAGAAAGAACACATATTTGCTGATTTGGGTTTAAATAAGCAGAAATGAGCAACAACAAAAAAATAGCTGAAAAAGCAGAAAGAAGCTTAAACTACCAGAAGGAAATGGAACGAGCTACATTTAGCACAAAATAGCTAAAGAGTAGCTGAAATTGCAGAAAAATATGAAACTAGCAGAAAAAGGCTGAAAGGCGCATAACAAACTGAAATTAGTAGAAAGAAGTTCATTAGGCTGAAAGTAACCGAAATTACAAAAAAAAAATTGAATTTATCTGAAAACAGCTGAAATTAGCAAAAATATTTTTTAAAAAGTAGCTGAAAAAATAGAACAAGCTCAAATTAGCAGAAAAAAGCAGAAAGAACGTTTGTCTAATTAGGCTGAAAGAAACAGAAATGAGCACAAAATTATCTGAAAAAAAGCTGAAATTAGCTTAAAAAGTAGAAAGAAGCTTAAATTAGCAGAAGGAAGTGGAGAGAGTACATTTTTGATGAATTAGGCTGAAAAAGTTCAAAAGAGTGCCAAAACTATGGAATTAGCTGAAAAGGCTAACTTTAGCATAAGAACAGTTATAACTTGCTGAAAAACTGGAACTTGCAGAAATGAGATGAAATGAGCATAACGAGCTGAGATTAGCAAAGAGACGTTAGAAGAAGCACAAAACAGCTGAAATTAGCTGAAATTAGCTGAAAAATGTTTAAATTTGCATAAGGGAGCTGGAAGAAGCTGAAGCAGAAGAAAACATGAAAGGAGCAGTAAAAGGTTGTAAACACATGTAAAGATTTGAAAATGAGCTCAATTCATTCTCTATGAGAAGAAAATGCAGAAAAGGATAAAGATGTCAAAAAGCTAAAGTTGCCCTGAAAGAGCTGAACATTTTGATTTATAATTTATTGAAATAACGTGAAAACTGCGGGACGAGAATCGTAGAGATCACAGTAGAGCGAACGCTTCACAAACATTCACACAATTATTGATGAGTCTAAATCCATAAACACTTGGAGCTCCATGTGTGCGTTTGGAAACGTGTCACTGGATGTGATTTAACGTACAGGATGCATGAAGTGCCGTGCACTCTACTACAACGATCAGCTTTAACATATAATTTAGCATCTTTGAGCGTTAGGGCCGGAGCCTCGGCTGCAGGGCTTTAGCCACACGTCGTGTTTTAGTTGAGAAGTTTTGTGTTTCATGTGTGCGAACACCTTTTCTAACTGGAATAAAGTGTAAGAAGATGTTTTTATTGTGAGGTTCCTCTGTATTTTATTTAACAAATGCCTATTCATATTTTATTTATTTATTTATTCATTTCGAACAGACAATAAAAAGTAAAACCAAAGAAAGAAAATAATGGTCATGCCAATAGACATGCAATTTTACACAATTTGTTTGAAAAGGATCAGACGTGATTTCTGCCCCGTCATACAAATCAATAAACAATCATTTAAGTCTCCCACACAAAGAACATTGATAACACTCCCACGTTAAATGACACGTAAACCAAACGTTCTCGTCACTGAATGTACAATTATTTATTTACACATTATTAATATCAGCAATAGTATTTTTTGTCTTTGAAACACTCGTCCTATTTTTCAATAAGCTCCTTTTTAAAACATTTAAACAAAAATAAAGCGAAGGACGGGTCAGTTGAACATGTGTGTGTCACAGGAGGAGAACCTGGGGGAGATCTGCTTCTCTCTGCGCTTCGTTCCAGCTGCCTGCAAACTGACCGTGGTGATCCTGGAGGCCAAGAACCTGAGGAGCATGGACCTTGGAGGAAGCTCAGGTCAGACCCACGAGCCAGACAGTCCTACCTTCATTC